TCCGAAAACTCTAGTCAATATCTCTCGTCAACTCTTGTGCCATAACAATGTGAGTAGTCATATTCCTTCCCTGTACAAATCCAGCTTGCTCCTCAGAGATAATAAAAGGAAGAATCTTGCCTAATCGGTTCGCTAGAATTTTAGAAACAATCTTTCCCGAGAAATTACCCAAACTAATGGGTCTGAAATCGCTCATACTCCTTGCATTCTCGACTTTTGGCAACAAAAAAAATTGTGGATAGACACATTTCCTTCAATAAATAACCCCCGCGAACGAAATCAACAATAAAATTTGCCAGCTCATCTTTAATAATTTCCCAACATGTATAAAAGTGCCCTGTGAATCCGTCATTGCCGGGAGAACTAGACGCCTTCAGTCCCTTAATAGCTTCGAGAATTTCTTCTAGATCCGGAACTCTGCAAAAATTTTCATTTAATGAGTTACTCACCACAGTAGTAACCTCATGGAATAAAGTCTCGTCGAGTTACTCACCACAGTAGTAATCTCATGGAATAAAGTCTCGTCCATATGATACTCCGACGCCTAAGCACCAATTTCGTTAGGAATGGATCCATCCTCTCTCTTAATTTGAATGGTCGAACGCTTGCACCGATCTTTGATGCACGCATGGTAAAGAGCGGTGTTGCGATCCCCATCCTTCTCCCATGCAAGTCGAGCCTTGGCACTTACCATCTTCGCTTCCCAGTCTTCGAGACGATTAAGATATTTCGTAGTCTCCACAAGTTGCCCCGAAATCTCCTCATTCTAGCCATGTTGAAGCTCATTTTCAAGCGCTTGAATTGTTTGTTGAGAAGCTTTGATATTACTTTGTAGGTCACCAAACACTTCCCAATTCCACCGCTTAAGAACACGCCTGACATTATGCAATTTAGCTGAAAAATATACGACGGAGACCCAAATATGGGAATAGTCCACGCCTTCTTGACTGTCTCTGGAAAAGAGCTATGATCTACCTACATACGCTGGAAAATAAATCTGGTTCGAACCGAATCCAGGGGCTGCTCATAACTCACACATAAAGGCGCATGATCGGACAAAGTGCGCTCCAAATGAACGACCTTCAAATTTGGAAAAGAAAGGTGAAACGAGGGATTGACCATGATCCGATCAAGACGCTTCCAAATCCTCGCAGGTCTCGTCCTATTATTGCTCCAAGTGAATGGATTCCCAATAAATCCCGCGTCCATTAAACCACTTTGCAACACCAAATTCTGAAAATCATGTAGACGGGAGATATCAACCAACCCTCATTTCTTCTCCGTAACGTCTAAAATGGCATTAAAGTCTCCACCTACTAACCATGGAGTGGATATAACAGCATGCATGGCCGTAATGTGATCCCCAAAGATTTTTCCGTTCAGTATGCGAACAACTTGCATAAATGAAGGAAGCAGTGAACAACGGCTGGCTAGGACTGGATATAGTATCAATGATTGCTTGGGCGAAAATATTTAAGCATTGTATATCAACAAAAGGTTTCCATAAAATCCAAATATATTGATTAGTGTATGCCCCATCCATGAACGAAGGAAACCCTAGTTTCCAGGCGAAATTTTACAGATGGTAATTTAGGCTCCAAAATAACCAATACTGTAATTTTATGTTGGCGAATAAGCTTCTTAAGGTGATTTACTGTAGCTTTTTGATTTACCCCCCGAGCATTCCAAATCGAGCACGACATATTAAACTTGGGGATTATTGAAGAACTTTGCCGGAGACCTGGTAACTCGATCTGTAGGTGGAACGTAATACCTACTTGAAGGAGGAATTATTTTTCTCTCCTTATTGCCAGCTTTCCCATTTGCTGGGACTTCACTATCTGATTTAGGGGACATAAAAATCCCTGCTTCGGCATCATGTTCACCCTCTGAATGGTACATAGCAAGCGCATAATTCTCCTCACCAAGGAGTTGAGCTTCAAAATGGTTATCCACTTCAACATTATCAGTCCTCACTGCATGAGTAATTTCTAGAGCCTGGAAATTGTCAACGTTCTCCGGCATAGTGTTTTCAGTCTCCTTGAATTCTTCATGGTTTGACAACTGATCTGCTACTGCACCCATATGTAGGTTGGAGGCGGCATCTACACCAGGTTTGTGGCTTTCAGCCAAAGGTGTAAGGTTTGTGCGTTCCTCTTGGGGTTGTTTAGACATGTTCCCCTTCTCAGAAACGTTTAACGTTACAGCCGTATGTTTATGACCAACGAAAAAAATTGTTCGTCAAAAAACTTTTGCGGCTCAGAATGTATACCATCGGTACCAACGACTGTATCATCTTCTACTACAACGGGAACGGTCTCAGCTACACCCCGACGGAGCATATGTCGAGGTTGTCCCACCGGGTTTGTCTTCGCTACAGGGGGTTTTGTCACTCCTTGTTTCTTTCGACACGCTCCTACTAAGTGCCCCAATAATCCACAATGAGCGCAATATGTGTGATTGCACTCATAGTCTACCTTCTGCCACCACCCATCATCCTTCGATACGCCGATAAAAATCGACTCCGGCAAATGTTGAGCCACATTAACCTCAATACACACCCCGGCGTAATGAGTGTGCGTGAATGCGAGAGTTCGGTCATCCACTCGTAAAACATTACCGAGCGCCGCTCCAATTCTTTCCAACGACGAAACATTGAAATATGGGAGCGGCAGTTTCGGTAAACGAACCCAAACCGCTACTTTGCTACTGTCTTTACCAATAGTAAATTCCGGCGTCCAACGAAACAAACAGAACATACAATTCTTGATGTTGTTAGAGTTGCAGGAGAGTTCTAACTTCGCATCGTGGATAGAACCCGTATGAATGGTGATATGTCGGGGATCCAAGAACCCAATTGCAGGCTCGGACGTCAAGTTCCACCCCGAGTTGATGTGGGATTTGATATCTTGTAAACTTGGACGACCAGCAGAGAATTTCATGATCAACGTGTTATTGACTTGACGATTTAATTGATCTATTTCAATCGGCGAGAAAAACACCGCAGGGGCGTGTTCGACGGAGGCTGTGGGACGAGGCGCTAGGGCCACGGGGACGAGGCGAGGAGGAGATGTCGTGCGTTTGGCCGCGAGCATCGCTGCGAATGAAGGACGGCGTGCCGGTGACGATGAATAGTATGGTTAGACGGCGTGCCAATGACGATGGGAGGCAGATTAAGGATTTTTTGATAGATCGGGCGGAGAACGGCGCATGTAGAGAAATTCGCGCAGACAGTAACCTTAATCGACTATGTACATGTTCAATAGTCGATTAAGATAATCGACTATCGTCGATTAAGGTTGATCGACTCCAATTTTTTTTTTTTTTTTTTTTTTTGTATTTTTTGTTTATTGATTCTTACTGTATAAATCAATTATAATGTTTGTACATTTTTTGTTTTTGTAAAATATAGTTGATTTTGCATTTTTTTTGCAGTTGTGATTTATTATTTTTAGTAGCAGATTCTTAATCTAGTATGCTTCATCATAGTCGATTAATATACCAGATATAGAAAAAAAATAAAACAAAAAAATTAAAGAATTTCCTTAATCGACTATGCTTCATAGTCATTTAATAAAACTGATACAGAAAAGAAAAAAAAATCGCTAATGACTAGCGCGTGGCGCCGTGATGATGTGGCGGGCGGGGGCAAAATTGGAAAATATAATGGCTGAAAATGGGTGTGGACTTTTCTCGAATGGAGCAAAATATTTGGGCATTTCCCCGCTAAAAGAAGTAATGGGGGTTTTCTCAAAGAGCCCCTAAAATATAAAAGAAAAAAACATCTCCCGCTAAAAGAAATAATGGGGGTTTTCTCAAAGAGCCCCTAAAATATAAAAGAAAAAAAAAAAGAAACGCGTAAATCTTATTTCATCCATAATATAACTAATAAATTATATTATAATAGTGCAATATATTTTGTTATTATAAATTTATAATTGCATATTTAAGTAGTTATTTTCTCAGTTTTAAAATGTTATCATGCGCATTACACAAGGATAATTACTATTTTTAATAATATTTTAAAATGTTATCATGCGCAATACTATTTTATTAACAAATTTTAATAATTTTTCAATTTACTTATTTACTATTTTTAACAATATTTTAATTTTTAAACAATCAAATTACAAAAAGAAATATATACATATAAATACATTTTAAGGGTCAATTTCGTCATTTCACATCCAAAAACCAACTCCCAGTCGCGCAACTCGCGAGTGAGCCACACACTAGTCAACCAGGGGGGTTTTTGCCTTTAACTAAATTTCACATGGGAGTTTTTGCTAGTTTATTTATCACAGGGAGGTTTTTGCTATTTAGAGATTATACATGGGTACATTTTGCAGTTTACTCATAGAATATGATAGGAAATTCTATTATTTATATCTAAATAACATAATTACACAGGGAAAATAAGAATCCTAGTAAAATAAAAGTTAATTCCAAGTCAATACAAATATAATTTAGAATCCGAACCAAAAGGAACTCTCTCAGCAAGTCTGTTACAAACAAAGCCGATTTGTTTTCTTCAAAGAAATCCACCACACGGATCTATTGCAATTCCGTTCCACTCACCTTTTTAAATCAATACTCAATCTGTGTGATTTATTCCATTTCGTACAACAACAGCATTATGTTTCTTGATAATGGAGTTGAGTTCTCTCTAAAAGTTCTGATAAACAAAGAGAAGAACAAAGTACTATTTGCAGAAGTCGACAGCGATTTCGCAGAAGTTCTGCTGAGTTTTTTAACTTTGCCACTGGGAACAATTGCGAGAGTTCTGAAGAAGCACTACGGAGACAAAGACGCAACGACACCTGTCAATATCGGAAGCCTAACCACTTTGTACGATGGATTATCGAATCTTGAAAGCATCAATGTACAGAGTCCATTCCGTAAGTCCATGCTTCTCTACCCCGTAAGTTCGTTTGAAGGTGAATGCCGAAAGCTTAAACTCGATATCAGTGATCCTTTGACCGTTACCTACTTTTCTTGCCCGGACTGGAATTGTACGCACCGATGGTCAAAGATGGCAATGCGAGGAGATACTACCGGAACTTGCGTTTGTGGGAAAATGAAGAACAAAAGCGTTTGTTTAGACGAGTCTGAAACTGCTGTTCATGGATCCGGTGGAGTTTTCACGATTAAGACGACTTCTTTCTTGATCTCTGATGATCTGAGAATGGTGCCTAATGTGGCGGTAGGCTTTGTGCAAACTCTCCGAAATCTTGGCATCACCGATACTAAAGGCGCCGAGCTAAGGAATGTGACTTTTGGGTTCAATGAGGTAATATAATTTGTTTGTAATATAATTTGTTTCTTGATTATGTTTGTATACTGTATATAATTAGGATTTATTTTTTGTAATTTTGATTCTCTATGTTGTCTATTTAGTGATTTAGTCATCTAAGTTATTATATTTCAATTTCACATGCAATAAAATTGCAATTTAGCAGTTGTTGGTTCACTACAAAAAAAATCTTTAGAGTGACAACACCTATTTTTCAATTGCATAGCCAATAAAATTGTCACTATGCTTGTCACTGATGGGGTGTCGCTAATGCTCTATAGTGACAATAAATAAGGATTAAGTGACAACAAAAAGAGCTATAAGTGACAAGAAAAAAATATTGTCACTTAATGTATAGATTAAGTGACAACTTTTGCATTTGTCACAATTGTGGTGTCGCTAATGCAACTTTTTCTTGTAGTGGTTTTATGTTGCTTGATTTTTGCATTTCATGATGTGGCATTTGTTGGATTTTGCTTGTACGGACTTTTAGAAGTTATGAATTCTTCATCAAACTTACTGTTCATAGAATTCTTAATCTGTGAGTTACAAATCAAATTAAAGGACCATTTATAATATTTAAAATATTCGTATAAGTGCATTCAAATGAGTTTGTTAAAACTAAAATTTCTGGCAAAACAGGACCAAAATTGCTAAATTTGCAAAGTTATTGCACGCAAACTTGAAATAGCATAACCAAAAGGACTAAATCACTGAATTGGTTAATATAGATGATCTAAATTACAATTTTCTCCCATATAACTATGTCGGTTTTGTGAATTTTAATAATCATTGTCTGCCTTAGGTTATGGATTTGCTCAAGGCCTCGTTAATGTCGCGTACTCCGCTAACCGACCTTATACTCAATAAAACAAAGGTTTATGATGACTTTGTCAGGCTAAAATACGACGCGGGAATTTCCTTCCAAGAGAAGGAAAAATCAGAAGCGACCAAGAAGATGAATATAAGGTTGGTGGTAAAAAAATCGAACAATAAGTTATTGTTTGCTCAAGCGGATGATGATTTCGTAGATTTCCTTTTTTCTTTTCTTACCATCCCACTAGGAGGAGTTGAGTGCCTTTTGGGCAGTAACACTTGTCTTAAGAGTATAGACAATTTGTATAAGAGCATAGCGGATTTTATCGATGACAAGTATTGGGTGAGTCCAAGTATCAAAAATAGGGTGATGAAACCCAATCTACCTAAAGGTTATGTTTCCGAAGGTACGATTCTTCCTCTTAGTGAACAAGTTACTCTATATTACCATCGGGATATGAACCAGAAAAAAGAATGGTTGTCATATTCAATTGGAAAAAAATCGGGATGGGTTGGTGAAATGGTGTTCAGTCGAGGCCAAGAGAATTTTGTTAGAGGAACAAAAATGTACATGGTGATCGATGATTTAACCGTGACTCCTATGTGTATGACCTCAACCCTTTCTATACTGAAGAAAATGGAAATCCCTTTATCTGATGTCAAAGAAGTGGAGGTGCACGTTGGATTGCAAGAGGTAATTAATATAATTTGATTTTATAATATCTCGTGTTTAATTTATTTATATTTTCCCATGCATGCATGTCGAGATTCGTTTTGGGTGCAGGCTTTAAGCATACTGAAGGCATCTCTGACATCGACGTCTGCTTTGACCGATGGCCTGAAGATCAATAGCATGTTAAAGAAAAAGCCTAACCATGCAAGTGCATTTATAAGGCGGTTCGCACAATTGTTTAATTAGTAATTTTAATTGCACCATGCATGGATTATTTTGTTTCCCAATAATGGTATTAGGCCAGTACTATACAAGTTGTAGTTACTTCATTGTTCAGGCCTTCAGGGGTAACTGATAATTTAGCTAATATTTACTGAAATTGTGTTTTCTGATCGGAATTGTTTTATGGTCGTAATAATAAGGATTGATTAAAAGATTGAGCTTTGGTCCCTTTACTTTTTTATATTATTATTGCCTCATAGATTTGTATTTTGTTATGCAATTGTCTATGCATGTTAGTATTAATATTATTATCAACTATCCGGTTGCAATTGACCATTAAATTATGTAATTAATTAGGAAAATAATAAAAATATTTTGAAATTTGCTATTCAAACACAATTCTAACTTTTCAGAAATTACGAAGATAGTAAAATTTTTCTCCCTCGTACTTGCTTTACTTTTGCCAAATGCGAAATATGGAAATTCTAGATTTTAAATTTTGTTTTCCAGAATAATAGTATTCAATATTGAATCAAGACAATGAGGGAGAACCCCTTAAAAAACCCATTTATCAATATTAGACCAATTCTTTTTTTTTTTTCTTTTTTACATACTTCTCATATGATGTTATGGATTGACATACCTCCATTAATTTATTATAACCTAATTTTATCCTTTTTAATTCGTTTAACCCTAGAAACACTATGTTTACTGCTCAATCACTTTTTCACTTTCTCTCCTTCGTCAATGCTTCTCTCTCCCCTTTCTCTCTTTTATCTTCCACCACCGCCACCACTCTCTTTGTGGACTGCTATCTTCCACCGCAACTGTCGCGAGTTCTTACCCACACAGAATTGGAGGATTCATTGAGGAACATGGAGAGACGACAGAGGTCGTCTTCCGCCAAAATTTGTAATTTCCGACGACACCAGCCGCTGCTTCTTCGAGACCCAGACGAATTACTCCTCATCTTCAACCAACAATAACAAGATCCAAAGCAATCTCTCCCTATCAATCCTCCCCTAAGTCCATTCTCTCCACATTCTCCCTTCAAAACGCCCCCGCAAATTTCGTCGCCGCAGCCTGTCGCGCCCACGTCAATTTCATCGCCCTCTATAACAACCGGAGAGCGGCCGCACGGCGAGGAGATTTCAAAGACGGAGTTTGAGGCATGGCATTAGTGATTGGAGCAGGGGGAGGTTGTTGAATTGGGGAGTGATGGTGGAGGAGCATCTGCGGCGGCTCATCATTGTACGAAACGCCGTGGGATTTTGCTGATTTTACAGATATTTCATTTAGTTGTTTCGGACAGTGGAAAATGGACGGTCTTGTTCTGACGCCTGGCAAATTAGAGTAGTTTTTTTTTTGTTGGTTTCGGTGATTTATAGTTGATTTCAATATTTTTCATAGTAGGTTTTGATAATATTTTAGTTGATTTCAATATATTGTAGTTGGTTTCGATGATTTTGTAGTTGGTCTTGATGATTTTGTAGTTGATTTTGATGATTTTGTAGTTGTTTTCGATAAATTGTAGGGCATTACTATAAATTGTAGCTTGTTGGTTGCTAAAATTTGTTGTTGGATTGAGGTGTTTTATAGTTATTTTTGTTATAAATTGTAGTTGTATTGAAATTTTGTAGTTGATTATTGTAATTTATAGTTGTTTACGATGTGGTAAATCTCCCAAAAAAAAAACACGAATTTATTAAAAAAATAATAATTTATTAAAAAAACAAATTTATTAAAAAGAAAAAAAAAATGTAGAAAATAAAACGATAATATATAGGTATTGGGAAAGAGGGGTGGGCATTGGAATAATATAAGGATAAAATAGGGATATGAAAAGTTAGGGGTGTCTCTCAAATGCAAATAATAAAGTGGGTCTAGCTTTATTAAAACACGGGGTAATTTTTTATAAATCCTCCACTCTAAGATTATATAGGTCCTAGTCCAAGTCATAAGACCTATTTTTCTAAAACCCCTACTAATATTTTTGGCTGATTTGCCCTTTGCAGCAAAATAGTAAAATTCCCTTTTAAATATAATTATCCACCAAATCAGTTTTTTAGCTAAAAAAGAGGGAAAAAAATCTCAAGTCGTGAGATTGAAACTGCAAAACCTTACCTCTCATTTCTTTCAATGCACCACCCTATAGCCCTAATTCTCAAATCGACAAAAAGGGTTGTATATCTGCAAACCGCCACCGAAGAAACAAACTGCAAAAACTCACTTCTCGTTTCTTTCAACGCACACTATAGCCCCAATTCTCAGATCGACGAAAAAGTTGTAAATCTACAAACCGCCATCGAAGGGAAAAATCTGCAAATCTCGTCAAATCGAAACATGCAAAAACTCTCTCCCCTTTCGTTCAACACAAACTCTGTAATCTTAGCCCCTTATTGCTGAGATCGATGGAGAGTCTGTAGGTCTGGAAACCGAGAAGATGGCGCAAAATCGAAAACGTACAGGTAATTTGCTATATATTGCATTTTTTTGTATTTTTTTTAAGTCGCGATTCATTGACGAAATACAATGGGTTTTTTTATGAATGAAGTGAAAGACAGAGATTTGGAGCCTATGACCCAGGTAATAACTTTGTTTTCTACAAAGAATTTTTTTTGTTTGTTTTTCATTTTGTTGTTTTTATGTGTATTTTGCACTTTGATGTTTATTGTGTATTTTGCACTTGTTGTTGTATTGTATATTGTATATTGTATTTTTCATTACACTTTGGTGGCATGTCGATTTTTGCAAACCTGCTATTGTATTGTTGTTAGTTGTGTTGTGATTTTGAAACTGTGTATTGCTGTTTGGAATTATAATTGGCACTTGCTATTACAAATTGCGGTTACTGTTTCAAGATACGCGTTATTATGTGCAATTGATGTACATGGTTTTTATTGGTTGACCTGTTGTGCAAATTTTTGTATTAATTCAACAGTTGATTTATTAAAGGGGAAGAGAAAAGTAAATGAATCAGCGGAGTCATCAAAAGGAGGAAAACAAAGATCGAATTAAGTTGAATATGTTCGCACGGGAGAACAAATCAATGCGGAAGAGCCAACATATGGAGATAATAAATCACCCCTTCTATATAGATCAAATCTAGTTTCAGTTGTTCGCTCTTTCCGGCAATATAAATATACAGAAAAACATATTGACTGCATTGGGCGGACTGCGTTGGCTGCTTTTATAATTCCATTAATGCCAAGGAAGATCTCTACACACCATGTTCGGAAGTCGACAGAAGAGGTGCACAAGATCCTACTTACTTACAACAAGGACAGACACAGATTTATTATTGGCGGAAAGGAACTTCAAATATTTCCTATTAAGTGCCAATTAATTTTCGGCATAAAATGTAGTGAAGTTGGGATGCATATAGCCAATCCTAAAGGTTGTCGTAAACCGACCGGTGGCCTAGTCCCTGGGCAATTTCGCAATGTAAAGCGACTGAACAATGCAAAACTAAAAAAAACCATGATTAGGTTGATTAGTGGAGACAGAGATTCAGATATAAAAAATGTGGCGAGGATCATCATACTAAATCTCACTGTTCTAAAAATCGGCCGAGGCGGCTGATTAATCGGTCTCCGAGGTGGAGGCGGTCAAAAACCTTTACGATTTTAGTGTAAAAGTTTGAAAAATAGGTTTTTTGCCTGTGAGGCGGTTTGAGGCGGTCTGAGGCGGTCAAACCTTTATGGCGGGTCAAACTTCGATTCCAAAAATCGGGGTTTTTTTTAATATATAATTCGAATTAAAAGTTAGGATTTTAATAAACAAAATATGATTTTATACTTTATTTTGTTTATGTTAACTGTTATTGTTAAAAAACTAATGATGTATGTTAGGAATGTTCAAGAATAAATGTAAATTCAAAAAAAATGCCTTTTTATTTATATTTTATAAGGATATTTATGAGTTATAATCTTATTATTATTAAACTTTTATTATTTTATCAGGATTTATACATGATGGAGATATAACTATGTTTAAATATCTTTTTATATATATATTTTTAATATTTATAAATAAAATCTAGAAATATATAATATTAAATTTTTAAAATCGATTTATTTCCGATTTATCGCCGATTAATCACCGCCGCACCGATGAATCGTGAGTCGGTCCCTGGCCGCCTCCGACCCAATTACCGCTTTTTACAACCTTGCTAAATCTTATGTTCAATTTCTTCTTCACTACCAGTGGGGATTTTGTTCCATGGTCCTGCGTTAAATATGTGGAAGATCTGGATGGTACAAAAAGATACAATTGGGCGAGAGAGATAACAATGCCATAGAAAAAGGTACCCCTGAGTTGGTTCCAGGATGCAATATGCTGTTAATGGTGAGTATTTTTCAATGGTTATTACTGTCATATGTTGTAATAATAATCATGTCCATATTCTTAAAAAAGATTGTTGTCAAATCATAGTATTGGCTGGCCGAGAAGACAACGGTAACACTGCCTATGACAGTCAACGCTTTTCAAAGGTTTAGAAAGTGGAACATCCAAACTATTGCTGAATGGTTGAATCAAATACACTGGAATCAATCAACGTATTTGTGGTGGTATTTGTTTGCATTTTATACACGCATATATATGTATATATGTTATGTTTTGCATTTTGCTATATATATATATATATATATATATATATATATATATATATATATATATATATATATATATATATATATATATATGTTATGTTTTGCACTTTGCTGTTGGTTTTAACTTTTGCATCTAAAATGCTAATTTTACTATTACATGTTTCGTAGGCAAAATTGAATTCTTAGCCAAAAAGAAAAAAAAAATCTACTGTTATTTGAGTTATCTTGTGATTTATATTATTACAATTTTGCATTTGCTATTATGTATTTTGAATTAGCAAAATGATACTGTTATAATTCGTTGTTGCTATTAAATTTATGGCTTTTGCAGTTATCTTGTGATTTAACAAAATTGTATTATTCCAATTTGCATTTGCTATTATATCAATGGCTTTTGCTGTTATGAAATGCAATAATAATTAGCTCACATATTTTGATGTTTTTATGTCTGTTTTGGTTGCTATATTATTTTACATATAGATTGTTGGCCCCCCTTGTTTTTAGGTGATTATAATTTTCCACTGTTTGAATATACCCTCATCGTTAGGGCTCTATGGCATCATAAAAGTTCTTTTCCTGAAAAGAAAAAAAACAACAATAACAGAACCACGAAATAACAAACAAAATACATCATATTGACAAAAAGTGGAAATAATAGCATGAAATAGACTAGTGTATAAAATAGTCTGACAGAAAAAAAAAAAAAAAAAAAAAAAAGTGCAATCGACATAAAAAAATGAAAACAAACCAAAAAAGGAAAGAAAAAAAAACAAATCCAAATCGTTGTAGACAGAAATTCGCTTGAGTATAAAGAAGCCAAATAAATACACGAATTACATTTGTTTCATGCACGACTTCCTATTATGGTTTCCGAGTTCATTACATTGTCCACATCTAATT